AGTTTCTCCTTAGTTCTAGGTTGCTTCTCTCCTTGATTAGTTTCCATCCATTGCTTCTTGTCCTGCCTTCAGGTGCTTTGGAGAATAGCTTGACTCCCTCTTCTTTGTGGCAGCCCCTGAGATATTGGAACACTGCTATCATGTCCCCCCTCGTCCTTCTCTTCATTAAACTAGACATACCCAATTCCAGCAACCGTTCTTCATATGTTTTAGTCTCCAGTCCCCTAATCATCTTTGTTGCTCTTCTCTGTACTCTTTCTAGAGTCTCAACATCTTTTTTATATCGTGGTGACCAAAACTGGGTGCAGTATTCCAAGTGTGGCCTTACCAAGGCATTGTAAAGTGGTATCAATACTTCACGTGATTTTGATTCTATCCCTCTGTTAATGCAGCCCAGCACTGTGTTGACTTTTTTGTAAAAAAAAAAAAAAAAAAAAGGTGTCGGAACTCACGCACAGCTCTAGCTCCAGTCAAAAACCCTTTACGGAGCAGGGGGGAGAGAAGAAACCACTTTAGGGAGCTTCCAAGGTGCAGATCATGTGAGCAGCATTAGCTGACAGATGCCATTGCCATGGCTTTTAAAAGGGCGCTTGTTCGGAGCCGGCATGTCTTCTACCACCTCGTCCTCCTCCACTTCTGATGACACAGAGACTTTCTCCACAGCCAGAGTGACCAAGGCGGCAGTCACTTTTCCAAGCCTCCAGAGCCCAGATCGAGCCACTGGGGGACCACAAAATCGTTCTGTGGCCATGGATCCAGGTTCCAGAGGTCTTTTCCAAGCCTCTGGAGCCCAGATCAGGCCGTGGGGGGCTGTGGACACGTCCCCTGGCCTCAGATCAGAGCAGCAGCAAGAACCATGGCAGAGAGGAGACAGACCTTTTCCAGGTTAGTTCCACGTGGCAGGAAAGGAAGGGAAAGCACGAGAGTGTTAAGTGAACGCTCGGGGATTACTTGTACTCACACTGGCAGCTTAGAAGGAACCGGTTCTTCCATTCAAAAAAAGGTGCCATAATGCCGTTCCATGCATTCTATGACAAAACAAGCACTGTATATGGGTAATCACATCTTAAAATTAGGCACTTCTGTACTGGTTCAGTTGCTGGAACCTTGGGGAAAAGTGACCATATCATACTGAAATTCAATATAATGCAAACACAAGCAATAGAAAACAATCCAACCAGTGTCTTAAACTTCAAAAAAGCTGAATGTAACAAACTCAGAGAGAATCTAGGAAAGATTCCATGGAGAAAAATCCTAAAGGGGAAAACAACCCAAAAAGCATGGGAAACTCTGAAAAACACTATCATAAAAACCCAGTCCACCACAATGCCACTGAAAAAGAAAAAAAAAGAAATTCAAGAAGAAACCAGCATGGCTGCCCAAAGCTCTCTCTGACAAACTGAAAGACAAAAAGGACAAGTACAAAAAATGGAAAGAGGGACACATAACTAAGGTTGATTACCAGCAGACAGCAAGTATATACAAAGGTGAAGTGAGGAAAGCAAAGGCTCAGAATGAATGAAGACTTGCAACAGAAATCAAGGACAATAAAAAAATTCTTTCAACATATTAATAACAAGAAAAAAGTCAAGGAAACTGTAAGTCCACTAAAGAGAGAAGATGGCAAGAAAGTAACAGGCAGTAGGGAGAAAGCAGAGCTGCTTAACTTATTCTTTGCATCAGTGTTCACATAAAAAGAAATTATACCTCAACATACCAAAAAAACTACTGCAAAAGACAAACTAGAAAATTAAAAAAAATAAAATAAGCAAGAAAATGGTAAGAGAACTTCTATCCAACCTTGACAAATATAAATCACTGAGATCCTACAGATTACATCCCAGAATTCTGAAGGAGCTGGCAGATGTTATCTCACAATCATTGCACCATATCTTCTAAAAGTCCTGGAGCACCTGAGAAGTACCTGAAGATTGGAAAAGGGCGGATGTGGTTCCCATTTTCAAGAAAGAAAGAAAAAACAGACCCAGGAAACTACAGACCAATCAATCTAACATCAATATCTGGGAAGATCCTGGAAAGGATAATAAAAAAACAGATCTGCGAACAGCTAGAAGCAAACAAAGTTATAACCGGTAGCTAGCATGGGTTTGTTAAAAACAGATCATGCTAAACCAATCTTATTTCATTCTTTCATAAAGTGACTAAATTAGTAGACCAGTGAAATGCTGTGGACATTGTATACTTAGATTTCAGTAAGGCATTTGACAAAGTAGACCACAACCTGATGCTTAGTAAGCTAGAAAAAGGTGGGATAGACAACATCAACACCAGATGGATCTGGCAGACAAATCATACTCAGCGAGTAATCCTTAAAGGTATTATATCCACATGGAGAGAAGTAAGCAGTGGGGTACCACAAAGCTCCATCTTAGGCTCAGTATTCTTCAATATCTTCATAAATGATATAGATGAGGGAATAGAAGGGGAAACTCATCAAATTTGCAGATGACACTAATCTGGCAGGAATAGCCAACATCCCAGAAGACAAGCTCAGGATCCAAAAAGATCTTGACAAACTTGAACAATGGACCCTATCCAATCAAATTAATTTTAATATGGAGAAAAGCAAAGTTTTACATTTAAGCAGGAAAAATCAAAGGTATGAATACAGATTAGGCAAGACCTGGCTCAAAAACAATAACTGTGAGAGGGACCTTGGAGTCCTAGTGGATAATCACTTGACTATCCTGGGTTGAACGAGCTAAAGCGGCTATTCTGTTCTGCTCTGCTCTGCTCTGCTCTGCTCTGCTCTGCTCTGTTCTATTCTATTCATACCAGAATTCAACATTCTCCTTTTCTCTCTTCTCCTTTCAGGTTCAGCCCCTTTCAGTGTGCAATGATCATTGTCTTTCAGGTCATAGAAAAGCCATGAAAGAAGGGAAATTATTTTGTTGCTATCTCCAAGTTATTTGCTGAGTTTCCATGACAACACCATGCGATAAGCAATATGTTTAAATTTGAAATAATGTTTATGGAAATATCTCTGTCTTGTGGAAGTTCTTCCAATTTAGAGACATCTCAGGATTAAGTGAAATCATGTTATATTTTAAACTACTAATGCAAATGTTTGTTGCTCTTTGTAAAAAAAAAAAGCACTTATTTTGCAATTTTCCTTTATACTAAGTGGATAGCATACTTGTTGAAGGATGTTTTGGACTGAAAGACCTGAATTAATCCAAAGATTAATTTTAAATCTAGTCTGTCTATTTTGTTCTTTTTATCTTATATTATATGACAAACATATCTGATGAAGATTTTGCTTCATCCTACTGTCCAGAGGATGATTAACCATTTCCTTATGCATTTGTAGTCTGGCCAACGATTCTAGAATCCTTGATTCTCTAGGGAATCTAGAGAAGAAGTTGATAGAGCAGATAATCTCCTGTTCAGTGTATTTCATCAAAAAATATGAATATTGCATGTCAACAGGAGACATCTAGTGTATAGCCCACTGTGGATGACAGACCTCTGTAGTTCTCCAAGGAGAACATTCAATTTACTAGGACTTGAGAAATCAATGTGAATGTGTCCTGTTCTTCAAAAGTGAAAGATTTTCTACTGCTGTAATAAATTAAGTTAGGCTTCATGGTATGCCAAACTTAATTTGCTAGCTGGTGATACCTGGCTCAGTAATGGTAACTTACATGAGGACTTGAATGGAAATGACCCATTCCTCTTCCTTTTGAACCTATTGATACCATCAACCATGGTATCTTCTTGGACCACTTCTGGAATGGGAAGGACTTTTTAATGGTGGTTTTGCTCCTACTGTCATGTATTATTCTGGTCTGTTGTAGTGATAGATAAGAGGTGGCCATTGATTTACTACAGGAAATGGTCCTCCCCATTCTTTTACATTTATGTGACCCCTCCAGGAGATATAATCTAATATTTGAGGTGAAATACAATTAATAAATTGATTATGGCAATTATATACCACCTCATATGTTGTAAAATATGATGTGCCACTGAACTTCTTGATGATTTCTAGAAGGTTCTTTAGCAGTACAGTAATTTTAATTCATTTACAGCACAATTTTTAATAATTGTTTTATTACTACCCTGCTTGTAGATGGTATTTTTATTTTTATTCATTTTATGTTGTTTGTATTTGCTTGTGTTGTATTGTATTTTAATTTATTTTAATTTATTTGTTTTACTATATATATATTTATTTTTTATATTTTATAATTTTATTTTTTTTCTATTTTGTACATTCTCTACATCTTTGAGACTATGGTGGAATGTCAAACAAAGAAATTAGCAATCTCTTGTGAATTAACATAAGGCCATTTTGCTTGAAAACCAACTAACTTTTTCCTGTCTTTACACAAAAGCTGAAAAAAAATTTCTCTCTTAAGCCCTCATTGCTCTTAGTAATTGCAGGATGCTGGACCTCTTGTCATCCCACTGAAGAAGAACTGATATTTACTGAGATCAAAAACATGTTTACTGTTCATGATTTCTTAAGACTTTAATTCCTAATTGTTGACTTTCCATTGTTATTAGCAATCCCCATATCAAAGTTTCAACTTCTTCTCCTAGTGACAAAGGGGTTGTTGTGCAGACCAGTGCAAGCAGAAATACTCTTAACGAGGAACAGCTTTGGGAAACATAAATTGACTCACAGATAAAACATATTTATTTGTGATGATGATATTTTCAGCCTTGGTCTTAGTGCTTTTGCCTGAAATGATGAACATGATTCCCAGTGCTAAATGTAGGACTAATGATCCTTTGCCTTTTGTTCACAAGCAATATCAGTCAGGAGACTTCATTGTTGTGGACATTCTCTCTCAGATCTACATCTTCTATACTATGATAGATTTCAGAAAACATCCTTCTAAGGAACTCTTTGTAGACATTGTGTGAGTTTTTTTTTTACAAAGGGACACAGAGAGAGAAGGAGAGAGAACCTTCATGTTAACTATGTTTAATTTGTTCTTTGATGAATAGTTCTTTTCTTTTTATCTCTTGTTCTTTGACCTATGATCTTCCTTCCTTCCTTCCTTCCTTCCTTCCTTCCTTCCTTCCTTCCTTCCTTCCTTCCTTCCTTCTTTCCTTCCTTCCTTCCTTCCCATGCATTACATTTTCAAGAAAAGAAATAATACTGATAAAACACACATTTAAAGAATATAAAAAATATAGTAAGGGACAAGAGAGGAGCAATATAAGCAATAGAAGAATGGAATGGAGAATGCTCAAATTATAAATAACCAGTAGTTCTAAAACATCAAAAGGTTAATATTTTTTAACAGAGCCAGTTTAGTGTAATGGTCAGGTATGAAAAGTTGAGACCATATTGTCTAGTTGCACATGTTGTCTAGTTCCACATGAAGACAGCTAGGTAATCTTGAGCCTTCTAACTTAGTTCAGCAAGCAATGGCAAGCCACATCCAAAAATCATGCCATAAAACTTTACATCATTTGCAAATGATCACTATCTCTATGGAGATAGTTTGCTTAAGATATTTCTAATGATTTATTTTGTGATAAGGCATTTTTCTTTTCTTCATTAAAAAAGATAAACATAGTCCAATTGATAAGACAAATATCTGGTTTATTTTAGCATCAAAAAATGTTTCCAATGCATTGATAATGATTCTTGAGATAGAGATATAGAGAGACAAACAGAAAAAGAAAGAATAGAATAGTTCCTTTATTTATGAATTATTTTTATATTCATACTCTCATACAGAGAATTTTTAAAGAAAGGGAATATATGTTTTCTCTCAAAGAACCATTTATGCTTATTTGGAGACCAATAGTAAATGCATTCAGATACCATTTTTTGAAGGGAAAGTGCATTTCTTTAAGTATAATTTAAGGGTAAAAATTATCATTGGAATGAAAACATTCCCATAGTAGTTTTCAAAAGTCAATAACATTAGTCATCAAAATACCTTGATTAATGAATGGATGAATTGATTGGCATACTAAAAAGTATTATTTATAGGCTAGCAAATAAACAATACAGCGATACTCCATTAGATGATAGATTATAGATTTATGGAAGAAGTTGATGATGATAGATAGATAGATAGATAGATAGATAGATAGATAGATAGATAGATAGATAGATAGATAGACAGACAGACAGACAGACAGACAGACAGACAGACAGACAGACAGACAGACAAATGTGAAGAATATTAGGTTGAATTGATATATACCATACATCACAGTTTCAACAGAGTATATTTTGACAGAATATATAATGCTTATTTTAGAGTCATGACTCCAATGTATCAACACATCCTAGCTTTAGAATTTGCCATCATGGAAATCAATAGAGATCCCTCTATTTTACCAAACTATACCTTGGGCTTCCACATTTATAATACCTATTTTGATCCAAGTTGGACATACCGTGCCTCATTGGAACTCTTCTTCACAAAGGGCCAATTCATAGCTAACTACAACTGTGATGCTCAAAACAGACCAATAGCAGTCATTGGAGGACCTTCATCAGACATTTATCTAAACATAGCTAACATCCTTTCCTTGTTTAAGATGCCACAGGTATGTTTTTTTATAGCGATACAGAGTAATAGGACATAAAAATCTATTTCTCTACAGAATTGTTCATGGGAGAAAAATGTTGTGATTGAGTCTACATTTCAAAAAATGTAGGGTTCTGGAGGATGTGAGTGAATTGTCCAGTGGTTTGGTTATGCTATAGAGTCTTGATTTTTTTCTTTTGATGTTTCCAAGGGCTAGAGTATTAATGGGGTAGTATATGTTGTCCAGAAGTAAGATTTCCTTGATTATTTCAGAGAAAGAATAGCTAAATACATGACAGAACATGGTTAGAATTGTCAAACTAGGGCTAGGAACACATGAGCTTTGAAGATTATACTGTTCAACCTTTACTTTAAACATGATTGTAATGTTTTATAATACTTTGTGAATACTTTGGAGAATACTCATTTTGTTGAAAAATACAGCAATATACATAAGTATTCTCCAAAGTATTCTCCAAACTATTCACTATTCACAAAGGTTCACCCAACCTTGTGTTTAGAAGTATATTTTAATAGGCCATTCAGTATTAATAAACTACTAATATTTATCTTGGAAATGAGATGAACTTCTCACACAATATTGCATCACTAATATTTAAAGGAATGGGTGAATCTTTCTTACCAATCAAATAATGTAAATTAATATTTAATTTTAGTTAATATTAATTAATATTTAATTTAAGTGGTATAGTTTGTACTCTGCAAAGAAAATCTTGTGCCTCAAGTTATGATATTGGAAATCCCTGAAGTGGTGATTATTGTATGCTTTTTTCCTATAGTAACATAACAGGATATTCCTCTTCTCTGTGAATTATGAATTGGCGTAACTGCTTGAAAAATCTAATGCAATGCTGAACCATGGACCTATTTTTTTTCTTGCATCTCATCCTTAGTGATGGCATAGCAATCTCCATGTAGAGATGAACTTATTTTCTTAAGTCTTGAGAAAAGTTGAACCTTAGCTCACCTTGAGTACAAATGCAAACCATACATGGAATTGGATTTTAGTTTCTAATTTAGTAGCAAAACAGGGAAAGAGTATGAATACACACAGTGTTAATTTTACTGATTTTTCCCCTATTATTGTTTGTCTCTCTCTTTCTAGGTAATATATGGTTCTGCTCCTGAAATTCGCACAAAAGAACAAGCTGCTTTTTATCAACAGATGTTACCAAATATGGATGCTCAGTACAAGGGCATTTCTAAATTGCTGCTATATTTCACATGGACATGGGTTGGGATGTTGTTAGTAGATAATGATAGTGGTGAAATGTTTCGACATACATTTGTTCCCATGGCTACCCAGAGTGGTATTTGTTTTGATTTCATTGAAAGATTTCCAAAAACTGTTTATACAAATAGTATTATAGAGCTGATAGAGACAGGACTAAAGATGTACCAAGTGATTATGAGAAGTAATGCCACTGCAGTGGTAGTTCATGGTGAATTTGGGAACATGGTAACTCTAAGATTTCTTTCCACTAGTTTGAAATATAATGATTTTCCACTATGGACAAAAGGTAAAGTCTGGATCATGACACTCCAGATGGGTTTCACATCACTCCCCTTTCAAAGATATAGTGACCTGGTTTTCCTGCATGGTGCATTATCATTTGTAATTCACTCAGAGAAGGTGTTGGGATTCCATCAATTTGTTCAATCAAGAAACCCTATCTTAGAAAAGGAACAGAGTTTTATCAAGATCTTCTGGGAAAATGCATTTGAATGTTCCTTCTCCACCTCTGTGGTAGAAGAGGAAGATGGGACCATTTGTACTGGAGAGGAGAAACTAGAGGATCTCCCTACATCTGTGTTTGAAATGGACATGACTGGCCACAGCTACAGTGTCTACAATGCCATCTACATGGTTGCCCATGCTTTGCATGACTTCCATTCATCTAAAATGAAATGCAAAGCAGGAAATCTTGAAACCAAGGGGAAAGCTTTTAATCAAGATCTGTGGAAGGTAAAATTCCAAGGAGACAAGTCACAGAGAAGTCACTCTATCTTCTTTCTATATTTCTGAAGAATCAATTCTTAAAATATAGATGAAATCCTGTAAACATACATTTATGTATTAATTAATTGACCAATCACAAGCTATAAAATATAGCATACCCTTACTACATAAATATGTAACACCACATAAATATATACCCTATGACAGTGGTGGCAAACCTATGGCATGTGTGCCAGAGGTGGCACTCAGAGCCCTCTCTATGGGCACATACTCCATCACCCCAGCCCCACCTCCCACTGTGGCCCCCTCACCAGCAGCTCCCCCGGAGGAGAGTCACCCCCGAACGTGGCTCGCATGGAGCAGCGCAGCCAAGGACATGGCAGCCAGACAATGGGAACAAGACTCCACCCTTGTGCCCCATCGCATGCAGTTGATGCTGTGGTGCACGGGCGGAGGGCGTGGCTGCCATGGCACTGCTGGACTGCCTGGGAGATTGGTGGGCCATGGAGGCAGTTAGTGGCCCTGTGGGTGGGCAGGGGGCAGGAGCAGGGGCAGGGCAGATGGGGGGCAGGGGCGGGGCTGTTTTTTGGGCACTCAGTCTCTAAAAGGTTCACCATCACTGCTCTATGAAATTTCTGAAATTCAAAGAGATTCTCCAAATTCAATTCCTTTGAAAGGTGTAGATGTTTTTTTTTATTTCTATACTAGACACATTAAAAATGTTCTCATCATTAGTATTTCAAAGAAAGTTTCTTAAATTATAAAGCTTTCTACAACATCCATCCCCTCACGTTGTCTTTTATACACTCCTTATCATAAATTTGTTATGTCTCTGTTTTATTACATCTCTGTTGTCATAATATTTTTCCAAATCCATTAGAAATTATTATTTTATTCTGTTTTAAACTAATTAATATTTAGATATATTGTTTCATTTCATGTTTATTATTATTTATTTTATTATTTTATTTTACTTTTCTTTATTTTTGTGCTATAAAGATTGTTAATCATGATTACACTTAGTAATGTTAAGTATTTATTAATGTTATTATTGTTGCCTTTTCTGCTTAGCAATATTCTAAAAGAAATTCTTATCTAAATACCTTAAAGGGGAGAAAGAGTGTTGTTGTACATCCTAATAAACATCTCTATTTGGCTTTTTTTTCCTGATTTAGCTCAACCACTTTATGAGAAAGATTTCATTCAATAATAGTGCTGGGCAAAAAATTTGGTTCAACAAGAATGGAGAATTAGAGACTGGATTTGATATTATTAATTGGATCACATTTTCAAACTTATCTTTTAAAAAAGTCCGAGTTGGAAGCATACACTTCATGAATTCCCCCCAAAAAATGTTCACTAATGATGAGGATGATATTGTATGACCAAGTAGATTTAACCAGGTATGATCCTGTCACATTTTGGCTTGTGTTAAGACCTGATTTTACTCCTTCTAAAGCTGTCTTACAGCCAAAATATTCCACAGAAATGATCTTCAGAAACATATCTCAACATATATTTTCTCCCTGAAGTCTCTCCAGCCTGTCATCACTGGAGACATCTTGGATGTCTTTTAGTATAGGAGGGTAAATGGGGAGAAATGAGTAAGCAGGAAAAACAATTCACACATTGCCTGTAAAATGAATGAGAAAATTTTAACACTCACTAAGAGACCTATAGATGTTCACAAGGAAAAATGGGCCAAGTAAAACTTGATAAATCAATCCTTGTGTCAAGTGGTCCATTTCCTGGTGACAAATTAGATAATGTGGTTTATATTTATTTTCATATTGAAAAAGCTGTTCGAACTTATGTACCCCAAATCACCCTTCACTGACTCATTTTATTATGTCAAACTTGAATATAGAATGGAAGGATGCTTCTAGAAACATTTCAAAACACTGAGATGAAAACTTTGCAAAGATAAAGATAAATAAATAAAGATAAATCTCTTCCACATTTATTTATTCATGGACAGACAAAGCCATTTTCTCTGTGTAATGGAAAGTGCCACTCAGGCTACAGTAAGATCAAGATAGAAGGAAAACTATTTTGCTGCTATGACTGTCTTCACTGTCCAGAAGGGAAGATTTCTAACAGGGAGGGTAAGAGATCTTGTATATCTACTTCACTTAAAATAGAGATACTTGTGAAACAAGTATTTCATGGAAAATTTAGCGAAATCTTTCACTTGGCAGATTAGACTACAAAGTATGGATAAGGAATTGAATTATAAAATATCCATTATTCTTAGCAAGTAGTACATTTCAGAGCAAAGATTTATGGAAAGACAAATTGATGGCAACTATCCTAATGTATATACTTTTCAAATGTTAAGTGGCAGTCCTTGTTTTGAAAATTGTACAATCAGTTTTTATTCCTTCACTGCAACTGAAACTTTAATACTTTCTTTCGTAGACATGGATGAATGCTTTCAGTGTCCAGAAGATCAGTATCCCAATGAAAAGAACAATTTCTGTCTCCCCAAAGTTATAACATTCTTGAAGTACAAAGAAACTTTGGGTGCTATTTTGGCCACTTCTGCTCTTTTCTTTTCTTTGGTCACAGTTGGAGTCCTTTGGATCTTTATTAAGCATCAGGACACTCCCATTGTCAAAGCCAACAACCGGAACCTCACATATGCTCTCCTTATTGCTCTCCTGTTATCATTTCTTTGTATTTTGCTATTCCTCGGAAAACCTCACAAGGTGACATGTCTCCTTCGCCAAACTGCATTTGGCATCATTTTCTCAGTGGCCATTTCTTGTGTTTTGGCTAAGACCGTCATTGTGGTTCTGGCTTTCATGGCTACCAAGCCAGGATCCAAGATGACCAAATGGGTAGGGAAAAGACTTGGCACATTCATGGCATCCTGTTGTTCCTTTATTCAAATTAAGACTTGTGTCATATGGTTGATCATGTCTCCCCCATTTCCAGATTCTGACATGAAGTCAATAGCAGAAGAAATCATTCTGGAGTGTAACAAAGGATCTGCCTTCATGTTTTATTGTGTCTTGGGTTATATGGGCTTCCTTGCCATTGTCAGCTTCTCATTGGCTTTCCTAGCAAGGAAATTGCCTGATGCTTTCAATGAAGCCAAGTTTATCACTTTCAGCATGTTGGTCTTCTGTAGTGTTTGGTTGTCCTTTGTTCCAGCATACTTGAGTTCAAAGGGAAAATATATGGTTGCTGTGGAAATCTTCTCCATTATAGCTTCCAGTGCTGGATTACTGCTTTGTATCTTTTCACCCAAATGCTACATCATTGTGCTGAGACCTGATCTGAACAACAAAGAATTTTTAAAAAGCAAAACAACAGATTAATATAAAATGTGATGGCCTGGTAGAAAACAGAAACCTTTTAGGCCACAATTCTATGTCGATATACTTAATACAAGTCCTGAATTGGTCTCTGCTGCTTACTATTCATTAAAAAAGGAGATAATTCTTCCAGTTAATGTATAATTAATATATTTAATTGGAATCAGGTATAGTCCTGTTTACTTTTAATTGGACAGAAATCTTTGTCCCTCTTCTTTATTTATTGTCATTGCAATGAAAATGCAATAGGAGAAATCATATCAGTGGAGAGAAACTTAAAATGTAAACTGTGCTTTAGATTTTCTGCCATCACTCATAGAAAAAAGCATTGTTAGTGAAACAGGTGATTAGACCACTACTATTGAGAAATAATCATCTCAACTTTCAAAAAATATATCAATACTTGACTCTTGATTCCAGAAATACCATTTTAGGTTGTTAAAGAAATTAGGAATAGCTATCCGGACAACCTAGTAGATCCTGAAATAATTGCTTGGTTTAAATGAGAGAATAATCTAAAGAAGAATAAGGGGGGGAAATGTAAATAATAGAAGATTACCGTTACGAAATTGCTGTTTAAAAAAAAGGAGGAGTATACACTGTGTGTGTATGTGTGTTATGTTTTGTTGTTTAAAAAAATAAAAAATAAATTTAAAAAAAAGAAATTAGGAATAGCTATCGGGACAACCTAGTAGATCCTGAAATAATTGCTTGGTTTAAACGAGAGAATAATGTAACAAAAGTAAGGGTGAAAGGGATCATCTTGGAAAACACAGCCTTTCAAAGAATTTTAATAACCAGAGAGACCTTATTTTAAGGCCAAATGACATCCTTTGGATCTTTAATTAATAAAAGGCTTTAAAACGATTTTTTTCCTTTTGTATTAAGTTCTGACTTTACTTTGCATGGTTTGCTGTTCTCAGTGGAAGACAGATGCCTCCAGTAAAACAAGAATTGTTGTGGGGGCAGATTAAATGCAGCTCTGAACAGGAAATTATCTGCCATGTCCTATTCTCCTATCCTGCCGCATCCGAGACTGTGATTCTCCTATCTTTATCAAATTCTTCTCTAAGTTCTCAGGGGAATTCTAGTTGCTATTTGCAAAATTACCAAGACTAAATGGCACGAAGAATCCTCCCTATATCTTTCAGAGCTGTTACAACAGAAAGTCAGAAACCTTGGTGTTATAACATTTCTTATGGTATGGGAAAAACAGAGTCCATATGTACTTTCAAAATCATTTTATAAGAAATGCCTTGTCAACAGTATGGGAAAAAGTTAAAGCTAAAATATATCTAAAAATTCCAGGGTGGTTATCAACGATGGAGGCATTTATACATTCAAACTTGGTAGACTTTGAAAAAATATGGACATATAGAGATATTCTAAATATTGATGGGAATTTAAAATCTAAACAAGAACTAGAAAATCAGGGAATTAACCTGTCCTGGTGGGCACATTTACAGATACAAAGCAGATATGAAAAAGATGTAAAAATGTATGGATTTTATAAGGATCAAACTGTGTTTGATAAGATTTTGTTAACCTCAGATGAGAAATTAATTAAGAAAATGTATAACTTTTTGTTAATTTTGGATATGGAAAGTGAACAAGTGAAAGAAACAATGATAAGATGGGCAAAAAACTTTGGCTATAATATAAAATTAGAAAAATGGCAAATGTTATGGGAGAGAAACTACAAACTAACAATGTCAACTTCATAGAAAGAAAATCTGTATAAAATGTTTTATAGATGGCACCTGCCACCAGCAAGACTAGCAAAAATGTTTAAAAATATGTCAGATAGATGTTGGAAATGTAAACATAACATAGGCACGTACTATCACATTTGGTGGACATGTGGCAAGGTTAAGGCCTATTGGAGAGAGATACATATGTGGTTAGAAAAAATATTGGGTGAACCTGAACTTTTTTTGCTAGGTATTATGCCTGAAAAGACTAAAAAGCAGAAATTACATTTAATCTTACACATCACCACAGCAGCGAGAATAATTTTTGCACAATACTGGAAGAATGAAGGATTGCCATCAGAAGAAGAAATATTCAGGAAAATATTGGAATGTGCAGAGATGGACAGATTAACTATGAGGTTGAAAGATAAAGAAGATACAGATTATTATCAAACTTGGGACTTATTTTATTGTTGGCTAGAGGAAAGAATGAAGGATTGGGAATTGAACATGTATTAGCATAGCTCAGTGGTGGCGAACCTATGGCATGGGTGCCAGAGGCGGCACTCAGAGCCCTCTCTGTGGGCACGTGCGCCGTCGCCCCAGTCCTAGGCCTTCAGCTGGATTTTATAAAACCTTTTCGCTTTAGGCCTCCACCACCATGTACA